TTTGAAGTTAGTTTAATCTTCTCTGTGTAGGTTAACTGGGAGTTGATCACATGCGTAACAATTATGAAAAGCCATTATCAGTGGAACTCAGATTTGATGAGTCACCATGACAATAGGGAACAGGAAGTGTTTATTTGACACCCAGATTTTGATGCAGAATTAAAAGAAAATATTGGAGAAAGTATTTAAAAGATCAACAGCGCTACAGCTACAAAGGTGTAGGAGATGCATAGAATCTGATTGCTAATCTAGTAAATACGTAAGTTTATATGAAGTCTTTATGGCAGGCGCTTTTGACATTTATTAAAAGCATTCTCATCTCAGCCATAGGCTGTTGTGATAGGGTTAATGATAATAACCCCTCATTGTCCTAGAAATAAAACAACTCAAGACGAAATCTACTTTTCTGCAGAAGATGAGAGTGGACCCAGACGGAGAATGGCACTCCCTGAATTTTTGAGGTCAATTCTGCCAGGAATATTAAAGCACATCTATAGGTAGTCTGACAACCATCTCCCTATAAATATCTTCCTCGGTTTTCCTTCGGATTTCTCCTGTTTGGATTTGGAGGATACCTGATGTATCTTCAATTACAGAGGATTTCGGCAGCAATTTGGGCATTGATCAGGCAGCGGTTGGCGCCATCACAAAGGCTGCAAACAAACACGATCGGGAGCTAAGCTGTATGCTGGGTGTGATTGAACGCAGGCTGGCTGCGGTGGTTGAACTCAAAGGTGAGATGGGATAACATCTTGGATGTGCATGCTCGCTTCAAGGCGCGAAAGCTCAACACATTTGGAATATTGGATTTCGCCACGAAAGAGCCAGCAAGACAAAGACTCAAGGCTGAAAGAAATTCCTGTGCAGCCTGCTCTCAAAACAATAAGTGTTATTCTGGATTCACCCTACCCCCTTTATCTAATCTCCCCTGGATGTTATGGCGAAAGGGCACAGAAGACTGCCCCCCCACCCATGATACATCTGTTGATGCGCTCAGTGACGGTTGATAAACTTCCATCTTATGAAGGACATTGCCCGTGGTCAGCGTTCACGGACAAATTGAATGCACTCATCATACACACTCATCTACTATCTCAATATGTCAGACTGACTTCATGTGACTAAGCCTCCGATGTGACCCCTCTGCTGAAATGTCTGTCTTGTGTTTACACGTGCTTTCTTGTTTTTTTGATATCTCAAACTGTATCCTGTCAAGGATAAAGTGTGAAATATGTTTTTTTTCCCCTCTTTTCCCCAATGTGGCTCCTAGGTAACCACCTGGACCTCTAATGTATATTATGTATTGTGATGAACGGTTGTACTAAAACTGTAATTTCCATCTGGGATTATTAAAGTATGTCTGATTCTGATTCTGATATTTAATTCTCTGGGAATTAAGGCCACTCATTCTTTGATCGGATCCTCATCAAAAGGACTTGCTATGTTTATGTTTCTAACACCCTGTCTATGGACCTACTATTTTATTGTTGCCACAGACTTACAACAAAATTCTGCTTGCTAGACAGGTAATAAAACGTGATTGGCTTTAAGGAAGGTGGAGACAGAGATCTCTAAGTTTATTGGGGAAAACCTGCTGCTGACCAGGTTAGCTCTGAGGAGAATGGGTCTCTTTCAAGAGCCGTTTGCATGAATAAATTAGTTCTTAAAGCTTTCATATGAGTGATTTAGGAGAAAATGTCACAATGACAATTTTTATTTTATTTCTAATTGTCTGTCAGGTATTAACATATTTTATGAACACTCCAGACTTGATGTAATAGTCTTGCGCACTTAGTCAGCTAATATCAAAACCTAGATTTTCACTAAATGACTACATTTGCTGTTAATTAGAAGCAGTTGTCCATTTTATTAGGCTATATCAATATATATCATGCAACTCTACAATCATAAATTACATTTTAATCTCGGTCATCACATTTGTATGACTTCATCAAATTAGAGATTCAACATCAATATTTTCATGCTGATGTATTAGACATATGGATAGTGAGGTGAAGGGATGACAGACATGGTCTTGAGATGTGCAGTACATGAGTGCGTATGTATTAAAAGGAGATTTAGTAGACTGTTGTGCTGGTGTTAGTTGATGGCAAACCCATATTAAGCAATTACATCATATGTTGCACCTCTTGCCTTCTTCCATTTTTATGAATATACATATGTTGCTGTAGAACCCTTTTTAACCTGTCTAAGTCCGATGATGTATTGTTTCTCAAATAGCGTACACAAAGGAGGAAACATTGTTAAGTATTAACTGTATTTATTCATGTTTAACAAATCATTGATACAAGCAAAATCTGCAGAGGTACAGTAAGTCTAATCATTTATCAGGCTCTTGCGTCTTCTGCCATTTCCAGGGGAAGACCCCCCCAGAAGGCAGAGCGTTTCTGCCATCTTTCCATTTTCATCAAAAAGTAAGTCAGCAGGTGTCCCCCGCAGCCCCCAGTCAGTATTTTGGGCCTTCTGCAGAATTACCATGTAAGTTGAGGCTGGACACTCTGGCCACCATAGGTCAGCATAAGATTGTCCATTTTGGCTGACCAACACAGAAAAGTAAAACAAACAGATATAGAAGTAAACAGGTATAGAAGTGATATAGAACTGGCCAGATCTGGTTAACAGCAGTCTACTGGCTGCTTTTCCTTTAATTCTTTTGCTCAGCTTTCAGTTTTCAGGACTTTAATCTCTAACCTGTTTTGTTACCTTCTTCATCTTCAATACCATTTCTATGAATTAACACCTCCTGAAAAATGTGGGAAGTCGTAGGCTTATACCATATAGCCTTATATGGTTTTGCATATATTATGCATATCATGCAGATTTACATTTCTCATGAAAGCATGTTCACTTACACACAGGTGGGCAGCATAAGGTTTATAAGGAACATCTAGGAACATTTTCTGAAGTTAAGAATGTTTGTTGAATCTGATATTTCACATTTAAAATAGCCCATGGTAGGAGAAAAAGGAAGAGAAATTTATGACGAGAATAGGAAAATGTTGTTACATGAGGACCAATGTCACAATGGTAACAGACACAAAGGTTGAGTAAACTCTCTTTGTTAAAAATAAAAATCAGTTTCCCTTATTTCAGGTTCAAAAAAACTTTGATTTTTTTTTTAAAAAACCCGCTTTGTGAAATGGACTTCTGCTTTATCTGTGTTGCATGTAAAGTCCCACCCATAAGGGTATTGTGTGTAAGCTACAGTTCACAGAATATTTTATAACAATTGATGGAGCTTTGTTGAAAATAACATTCCAAGAGGCAGCATTGAGAGTACTTACAGTATGTCATGATCCAGTGTTCACGACCAAGGTGCAGAAGTAGGATAGAGAGTTTGAGAAATGAAATTCAATTAGGGAAGCAGCAGCAGAAGCAGGGAAGCAGACATGTAGTAATGAATTTATGGGATTCTTTATAAATAAGATGGATTCTATTAAAAATAAGATTATTAGCACAGTGGCAGCTGGCCAATAGTGGCCAAAGCTACACGCTGAGGTGACAGGAACTGTCGTCACAGTTATTGTGCAGGTGATTGACCAGCCGGAAACTTACCAAGAGAAAGTGGAGGTGAACCTCTTTTGACTATTTGAAAAGATAAAGAAGAATGAACAATCTGGGATTCACATGGAAAATTATATAATATAGTGCACGTTTTCTAGATGTTTGTTAATTTGCATAGTTGCTCTTAAAAAAAAAACACATTCTCAGAAAATAAATTGTTTTTATACATTAAAAATATATAAAGCTGACAAATAGCTTCTCCATTATTAAACTGGTATATGATTTCTTTAGGTTTGTTACTCAAGATTTGCCTTTTATTTTATAGTGTTGGCATTCATATAAATATACTTGTGTGATTACTTAGTATACGTTTGATTGGTTTTTGGTATGCATCTATTTTGAATTTATAGCCCCCCCTGGAGAAAACTTTGCCAGCCGCCACTGCTCTAAATATGACTGATTTATCTCTGAAGAGTGAGGAAACTAAAGAATCTGAACCGGGTTTAGACATTCTTTCATCCATTTGAACTTTCAGAGTTAGCAAAAATTTCATCCTCATCTGAGCCTTCAAGTTGTATGTTAGATCCACTTCCAACCACATTATTTAATTAAGTATTCACTCTTATTTCTTTCTGTCCCTGTTTCAAGGATATGTTCCTCAGGATTTTAAGGTAGCTGTAATTAAACTTTTACTTAAGAAACCGTCTTTTGACCCAGATGACTTGGTGAATTATAGGCCTATATCCAGTCTTCCTTTATTATCTAAAATTGTTTAGAAAATAGTGGCTAAACTATTGTGTGACCACTCACATCATAATGATTTTTGAAGAGTTTCAGTTTAGTTTTAGAGCTCTGAAACAGCTCTGGTGAAAGTCACTAAACATATTATCATTGCCTCAGATAATAGACTGTACTTGTCCTGTTAGATCTCAGTGCTGCATTTGACACAGTTGATCATAAAATTGTTTTAGAAATACTTGAATATTTTGTAGAATTTAAAGAAACTGCACTAGGCTGGTTTAAATCATATTTCTGTTTGTTCAAATTAATGATACATCTTCCTCATGCTCTGGGGTTACCTGTGGAGTACCACAGGGATCAGTGCTAGTACCAGTTTTCTTTACTATATATATATATATATATATATATATATATATATATATATATATATATATATATATATATATATATATATATATATATATATATATGGTACCAATAGGTAGAATTATTAGACAGCAAGGGATTAATTTTCGTGGTTATGCTGATACTCAGCTATATGTGTCTATAAATCCAGATGAAGCTAACCCATTACATAGATTACAGGCATGTCTTGAAGACATAACAACCTGGATGACTTAACTTTCTGCTCCTGAATGCAGACAAAACAGAACTTAAAGTCTTTGGACCAGAGTCTTTGAAAAAGAAGCTGATTAGTGAGTCACTTCATTTGGATGGGATTAAATTGATCTCAGATGATAAATTAAAAAATCTTGGTGTTATTTTTGATCATTTAAATCCCATATCGACAAGGTTTGTAAAATTTCCTTCTTTCATCTACGGAATGTTGCATACAGTAATAATGGAATATTGTCCAGGGGTGATGATGAGAAACTTGTCCATGAATTAATTACTTCAAGGCTAGACTTTTTTAATTCTTTACTATCAGGAAGTCCACAAACTGTAGTTAAAAGCCATCAGCTGTTCCAAAATGCTGCAGCCAGAGTTTATATGAAATTTTTCTCCTGTCTCAACTTTTGTCTATTGCTTTCCTGTTAAATCCAGCATAGAACTAAAAAACTTGTTCAGGGTGCAAGAGTGGCAGTCAGGCTTGAACTCAGAACCTTAGGATTCCTAACCACTAGGCTGCCACTCTACAAAGAAGGCATTAGCTTGAATGGTCTTGCCTAAGGACCCACACTGGCTGCTCATTCCCCCCAGCTGTGATACAGGCTTCCTGTGTGCAGGACGGGTGACTTAACACTTGAGCTAGCCAGCCACAGAGTAGACTCCATGTCTACTTTTAAGGCAAGGCTCAAAACTTAATTTTTTTTATAAAGCGCGTAGTTAGAGTGGCTCAAGTTATCCTGAGCTATTCAGGACCGGCTCTTGGCCTAGGCTAAATAGGGTAATGTTAAGGCCGCCTTTCATCCAGGGAGCGCTGTGATGGTGGGAATGGAAGAAAAATAAAAGTGGAACTAACAATTTAGTTGTTATTTTCATACAACAACCAATCAGTACAATTATTGCTTAGTATGAAAAGAATAATTTCACATTAATGGTACTACATAGCAAAGCCTTTTGAAAAGAGGTTTCGAAAAAAGGGGCCCTACATCAGCATTGGCTGAATCATATGTTTCAGGTTAAATCCTCATACCAGTGATTCCCCTTCTAATGTGGTTGGAAAATTAATTTAAAATAACTTCAAAAGATATTTAAATAAAAATTGGAAAAAAATCTTTAACAAGCAAGAACAGTTCTTAGCAAATCATTTTATGTAAACATAGCTGACTTAATATATCACTACCTACTGTATTTTAGTGTCTGTTTTAGTGTGTCTGAAGTTTTATGCTCTATAAAGAAGAAAAAAATATGACAAATCTACCATAATGGAATTTATTTATTTATAAGTGATTTTCAACATTCTTCGCTTTTCCTTTGTTTCCCATAAGGTTAAATACTTCTGATTTCAAATATTTAAATATTATGAACATTTTTATAATTTGCTATTTGATACATTGCTATTTCAATAAAATGACATGATTCAGTACAGTGGAGTTAAACATTCTTATGTTTGCTTTGTGTTTTTTATGGTTTTCAAAGCCGTAGTCTGACAGTATTTTAATTTCAAAAAATTGCAACATTTGATTGTACCTGAACTTTTGTGTTACTAAAGATAAATAATCACTGGGGTTTCTTTCATACAATGTTGAATCTTTCAAGATTTTCTTGAAAGAGAGTGTCTTTGACAGCTTTGAAGACAATCCGGATGTTCTCTGTGTCAGTGGCACAGGTGAAGTGTGTATAGAGGGCTTTATGAGAATGTTGGTGTAATTGAATGTACAACTTCTCAATGAACTTTTTTGCTGATTCAGCATCACCTTTGGGCCCTGTGGGAGAGAGAGTGAACACAATTAGAGAAACCCAAAGAGCTCCATTCATAATTTAGCTATTGCTTATGATATATATATTATTTATTATGTATCTATGGCTAAAGAGATTTTTATTTTTTCTTCTAGATGACGACAATTTGAAGAAGTTTATTGTTAGTTATTAATTTTGTTTCCTTTTGACTCCTTATATTCCCACCATGCATATTAAAGATGATGGTAATGGAGGTGAAAAAACCCCATCTTAATTGGGGGTGAAATAGAATGAACATTATGAGACACTGTGTATATACTTGGTAACTGTGTTGTGTGGAAAACAACTTGAGGAACGGGGTTTCATAAACCTTCATGGGAATTCAAACAGTCTGACTTAAAACAGACTAAGTCGGCGCATTATAACCTCTCCTCTCATGGGGTTTTGAATGATTATCATGAATTTTTTGAAATGTTGAAAAAGTTGGAGTAAAAGTTTGGTGGCCTTAATCGAAACCAAGGAAGTCTCCTTGGAGCATAAAGCGAGGATCTAGGAATCTGGACAAATATCAGAGGTGTCACCAGGCAAAGGTAAAAAAAAAATCCCTCTATTATACAACTTGATTAAAAAATGTATTAAGACTGAGCATATATTTTTTCAGTTTTTTTGATTTCTTTTACTTTTGGAAGTTTTTTTTAGGAGAATAGTGTAATAGGTAACCTAATTTCTTCATCACAAGATAGTTTCAGACTGTAATTCAGGTTTGGCTTCCTCAAACCTGTTCATGCAGACTTTGAATAAGCAATTTATTTAGGGTAATTCTGCCACATGTCCACAAATTGCTGGTATGGGCTTGACCCCCTGCTGTATTTCTAATTGAGAAGCTAAGAGCAAGAAAAACACAAAGCATCAAAGTAAATATGTAACAACTCTTAAGGTATTTTTGATGGTGATTTCTCACCACCCATAATCAAGGCTTGAATTAATTCCACTAAATGAACTAAAAGATCCAATGTTTTTAATAAAGCAAACTGGAAAAATGAAACTAATCTTTAAAATGGCGAAAAATAAAAACTACAACTGAAAGCAGTTGTAGATAAACGTCATTTTTTCAAATTGAAAAAATTTTAACATGAGCAACAGGATATAATTTACCATTGTATTCTGGGAAGTATGTTGCCAGATGAGATTCTGTGATTTTCTCAGCCAGCAGGTCTGTTTTGTTCAGAAAAAGAATAGTGGAAGAATCTTGAAACCAATTGGATGTGTTGATTGTCTCAAACAGGGCAAGGCTCTCTCGGAGCCGGTTCTAAAACAGATGCGAACAATCTTAGCAAAAGCTACTGTTAAACCCATCTGAAACTAACAAACTTTAGATCAGAACATACCTCATTCTGGCTCTCATAAAGTACTTGATCATATTCACTTAGGGCTGCTAGGAATATGATCGAAGTGACACTTTCAAAGCAGTGGATCCATTTTTTCCTTTCTGAGCGCTGGCCACCCACATCCACCATTCTGAGAACAGAAGACGTACTTGTATTGATTTTTGTTTTGTCAAACCAAAAACACTTGTATTTCTCTCCTTTTCAAACCAACAATGACAGCAAAGTAAAGGTTTAAAAGGGTGTTAAACCTGTCTCTTTTTGTGTTAGCTATGGAACAAAGTGGCAGCATACCTGAAGGTGACTTTTGACATATCAAATATGTACTCTATGATACCCGTAGTGGCTACTCGGACCCTCAAGATATCCTGCTCAGATGGAATATAATCTTGGGCTGTGATTCTGTCCATGTCATTCAGATAACTAAAACATAAATAACAAAACAAGCAGTTTAATATTGTGATGTCCAGCAAAACAATCATAAAGCATTGTGTTAAAATGATCATAATTTATATCTATATTCAAATACTCAGTTTAGATCTTACTATTTGGCAGAGTCTGACAACTGGTACTCCCTCCGACGGTCATAGCACTTTTGTACACCACCATCATTCCATACTCGCTTGATGGCATCCACCTGCCAGGGCGCCAATGTCGTCAAATCAGATACCTCCACCTCGCTCAGTTTCTTGGCATAACTCTGACAAAAAAATAGCCACAGGTCTACTACAAGTCTACTAGAAACACACCTTTGATATTTGGCAGAATAGGTTTAAAGACATACTAGTGGCAACCAAATATTCACACAAAAAGAGTTAGGCACTTAGACAGTATGCATTGCACATAGAGCAATGTGGTACAGAGAGCTTTATGAGAATCCACAACATTGCATAAAGGTTAACAGACACAGAAGATACACTCTACATCTATGATACAGTATTACTATGACAGCAAGTTTAGCAGGGGTTAAATTTGACACTCATCAAAAAGCATAGAAACCCTAAAGTGAACATTGTTAATATTACATAATCTGACAAAGAGGATATAAAAGTAGACCATTAAGAATTTTGTTAGATTCTTACAACATTTTGGTTGTCAGCATACTGGATGTGTAGATAACTCATAGCTTCAATTAGCGCCTGTATGGCTGTGACGATATTTTGGAAGACAATCCGGGTGAAATTTTTCCTGTCAGTTTCATTGTACCCTTTGCCATGGATGATCCTCATCTGTTTAATGAAGGTGCTCTTCCCACTTTCACCAGTTCCTACGAAAATGAAATAAATTAGATCAAGGGATAAAAATGTTCAGGTTTCATGATACATTTTTTGCTTGATGTGAATTCTTTGTGTAGCTACTGAACCAGAGTATTGATTACATTTCTGAAATGGACTGATTGAATCTCCCGATTTGTTTGTGTCATTAAACATGTTAGTCTTTGCTCCAGAAGAGTTGCTGCAGCACTATTAATAAAAATTTACAACATTAAAAGGTAATGGCTAAGGGTATGATTTCTAAACTGGAACAACTGCAACATATGTTAAAGCTTAAATTACAAACCAGTCACAAAAACAAAGAGTAAAAATGTTAAAATCTGCACTTTAGCAAACCGCAATAAAAGGTCAAAAGCAGGAGCTGTGTTTTAGGGTATAGAGTAGCAGTAATATAAGTTTGACTCAACAAAGAAAAGAGGATCAACATGTTTCAGCTGGCACCATGTCAAAACATTAAACTTTCTCAATTGATTATACCCTATGTTGGAGCAGCATTTCATCCTTCCCTGCCGTGAAAAATGACACTAGGACCAGAGCATTCTTCATGCAATTTTTTAGTGAATACCCTTGGATATAATCAGAGTGCTAGCATGATCCAGATCCAGGAAATGTTATGCTTTCACTTTAAAACTGACGGTTTTTGATTTTCAATGCCCCCTATCAGGTACAACAGCTCCAAAGTACTTTGAATTACATTTAGTAATTAACACAATTTTGTTCTGTTCAAATCCGGCGGCTGCGTCCTCCGAAGGCAAGATTTGTCTGCAGCCTGATCAAATTTGAACACTCCGTCCGGCCTCCTCATTTTAATGGCTTTTGAAAACCCACTCCAGGTAGAGTGGGTCCTACAGAGGATGCAGCCGACAATTCAAACGCACCTATTTTCACACCAAGTGGCAAGCAACATTGTATCCGAATTGGATGTAAAGGTCCCCATACCTAAGGCCATAAATTGTTTTGCCTAGCATAGCGTTATAATATGGAGGACCAGCTCTGATATAATTTAATATAAATATAGAACTAAGTAAATAGATAATCAAATAGATAGATAAAAAAAAGAATATTTCATAAAATAAACAAATGTCAGTGGTAACTCAATCATACAATAGGATTCGAATGTGCCCTATGATAGACTGGTGATCTGTCCAGGGTGTAACCCACCTCTCACCAGACCGAGCAAGAGCACCCCTCGCGAAACAACTTGGATGGATGGATGGATGGATGGATGGATGGATGGATGGATGGATGGATGGATGGATGGATGGATGGATGGATGGATGGATGGATGGATGGATGGATGGATGGATGGATGGATGGATGGATGGATTCAAACATATTTTAAGTACATCAATTAGTTTAAAGCTACATACTACCATGGAAAGCCACCTATGATGAGATTATTAGTGAGCAAAGCTAAGGAAATTAGCTGTCTTATTTAAAAACAGCACTGGAAATCCTGGCTTCATTTGCGTGTGGATGTTCTGATAGAATATATGTTTCAGTTAGATATTTAGTGGTGCATAATCATAGTTACCATTTCTGTGTTTCCAAATAAATCACAAAGGAGAAATTTAAAGTCTGAATACCCATTCTCTTTGCTTTTCTTCTGTATTATCTAGTTGTTTATATCAGGGGGTTTTCTTTAAGTTGACCCATATGCATAGAGGCAAGCAGAAACAGCTCAGTAAGTTGTTGAGTTTTAATAAATGAACAACATTAAATTGACAGCTTGGTAAAAAAATAAATAAATAAAATAGGTTGGCATTAGTACAAGCATTGCATGGCAGGACATGGCATGTTAAACAGTAAAAACCTGTGTCATGCTGAAAACCCAGAGATGATGTGAAACAAATGAGGCTTTTTATGAAGCAGTGCTTGAAAATGGAGTAAAAACATAATTGGATATGACCAGAGTTACAAGGATATAATCTAACTGATACTAGTAAGAAAAGACTGACAGTAAAACTGAACATATGAATAACTGCAAAACTATAAGCATAGATATACAGAAACATTGGAAATGGATCTAAAAAATAAGAGCAAAGAAAAGAGAAATGACATGTCAAAACCAAATGGGTGAAACCTAAACAACGAAAAAAAACATGTATCCAATTAAAAAAACAAATACCTTAAGAATGTGAATAGCCTTGTAAAAGAGATTGCTGATGTCAGGGAAACTTTAAATCAAAAATAACACTACATATAAGTCATATTTTTCGGGACTAATACAAATAAAGCTCAAAGAAAATAAAAGATTGTGACTAAACAAAGTTGTTTTTTTCTGGAAAAATTTAAAGTCTAATCTCACAATATCAAAAAATGCAGCAGGCCATCACAGTTTTGTTTGAATGAGGAAACATGCTAGCAAGAGGAGGATTTATCGAGGATGAAACTATGTAAAGAATGCAAAAGTCACCCTTAACACACAGTACCACATACACACTGGTTCAATGATTTATTATCTCAGTCATTAAATGACACTTAGAATTCTTAATAGTCTGGATATTTATTCAACCAGTCTTTGCAAAGCATTTAGATTGCAACTACAGTAGGGAGCATATTACATACTGCTGTACAGATAAAAATGACCAACGTTTATATGCTTTCTGCTATACACTAAAATCTGTTACAGAAAAAGACATTTATTACCTAGAATAGCATGTATTAAATACTCCACTACCAGCTACCATATAAATGTCACAGCAGTGAGCAATGACAAAAATCAATGCTACTAAGAAAACTGACTAGAAATAGTATGAACCAGGAGAAGCAGATAAAATTTCAATCCTTCTTACCAGTGGTGTTTGTTTAAGATTTAGATAGTAAAATACATTTTAAGGCTCAGAGCCTAACTGTCAAGAGGACAAACAATTTTCCAGGCAAAATTCAGAGAGAGAATTCATATTAAACTTTTGGGGATCTCACCTAAAAGCAGAAGCTTTAGTTCCCGTTTAAGGTTTTTTTTATGAAGTTGAAGTTGTTTCTCTATTTCTCTGGATATCCTCCGGCTCTCCTGCTCTTCAGGGGACAAGCAGCACTCGTCCATTGTTATCAGAGTCAAGCAGCTGCTTGTTTGACAAAGTGTCACAGCTGATGGGGATTACTCAGATAAATGTATACTAATGTTGTCAGACCTGCTAGGTCATCTTTTTCCCGAAAACAATACGCTGTTGGTGACTTTCTGTGGGCATTCTTCCTCATACTGGATCCAGTTCAGGTACATTTTACCTCCCTGCCCTACAGGAGGAGGAGTCTAGCTGAAAAGCTGTCTGCTTTCACATTCTTTGAGGTTAAAGCTCTTTTTTTCCACTACGAAGTACAAATTGGAAACAAATGATAATATCTAATGGGTATGCCTTTTAAGTTAAATAGGTTTAAAAAAAATTCACTAAAACTCACTAAAAGAAGTAAAAGACAAGGACACTTTTTATTTGATACAATTGAAAGTGATGATACATGTGTTAATTCTGATTGTACAATGCATGACTCATTGAGTTTTATCACATGTATTTTATAAATATGACAAAAATATGACATAATATATGTTTAAAACATTTTACTCATTTCATTATCTGTGTGTACAAAAATAAAAACATGTAGGCCATCAAATTGCAATCTTTCTCTTAATCTGTGCCTTTAAAAGCTGTAAGACTTTGCATTCTTCAAGGTGCATTCTTCCTCCACAGAGCTGTGCTAGTTAGACGTTGCATGATTGAGTCAATTCAAGGTTGGGCGACACATTCAAAGGCCTATAATCCCAGGTGGGTATAAGGAATCAGTAGTAATGCTGTTGTATGTGTACTGTGTGCAGACAAAGGATTTTCACTCTTTACAACTTCAAATGAATACATGTTGCAATAAAATTTAATTTAAGGCCTGTGTAGATCTAAAGTATGGCTCAGTGCTAGAATTTCTCTTATATTTTTATTTTTTAAGAAAGCAAAAACAAAGAAGAAAGCTTAACAGATAACAACCAAAAACAAAAACAACACTTCTCCATCCTTACTCATTCGAGGTTTAAAAAACTCATATTTTCTAAAAAGATTGTGTCTTTGACTGAATTGAAGACAACTCTGATGTTTTCCGTGTCTGTGGCACAGGTAAAGTGTGTGTAGAGAGGTTTGTGACGACCTTTGTGGAGCTGAACATACATCTTCTCAATAAACTTCTTTGCAGATTCAGCATCTCCTGCAGGTCCTGTGAAAGAGAAAGTTCATGATTTAAACAGTGCCACTTGAGATCTGAATTTCCATCAAATCCACACCTAAAATGAGTGTTTTGAAGAACATTCATTTTTTATGTGTATGAACAACTCCCATGCCTTCATATAAATTAGTAAGTATAAAATAATACGTTTTGGGTACTGACAGTAAAATTAAGGCTTTCAGTTTACAATGTCATTATCTTGCTTGTCACAATATTGAAAAGGTAGAAGTTGCATGCAGAGAGGCAGTGATGTTCATGAACGGGTCCAATGAACTGCGTCCACTGAAGACCTTCATTTCTTCAATGAAAGATTAACTGAACGGATCAGTTTTGAAGTAATTATGGGAATAATGAGCAACACACACCTCTCACATTCGCGTTCAGTTGATAATGACACTTTTTTTTGGATAACTTCAGGTTTTACGGCACTTATTACAGCGCCCAGCATGTGTACAGCTAGGACTAGCCTGCGTGATTCTTATGCCAGTTTTGCAGAGCACTTGGCAGGGTTTTATGAACAAAGTAAACTCTGACAGAAAATCTAACATTTCTGTGCCCACCGGGACTTAAAAAACAAGTCCACATGGTAGCCATGTCCACTTCAACTTTAAAGCCACACATCAAGTTAAAGCATCTGAGCTATCTTAGGAAATCGCTGCTACTGAATGAGGAACATCAGAAATAATTTTTGATGCATATCTTTTCAGCAGAACCTGAATGTTCCTGTATGTTTCTGAAGTTCTGCATAATTTGACTAAATAAAGGCTTCTATGCACATACAGTATATCTTGACTGCATCAGTTATTTTCCATTTATTTCTATATATTTTAACCACACATATAAAGGGTAAAATATTAGGTTTTATTGTAAGATTGTGTGTTTTATTTTCCAAATGAACTTGAACTAATTCATGTTTAGCAGTGTGAACTGAACTTTGAGCTACTTCTTTTAGGTGTGAACTGGCACAACATTGCAGACAGGTTCACTTGTAGCTCAAGTCTAATGACATTTATTTTCTTTTTCGACACAAAATGGGGAAATGGAGGAAGAACACATGGATTTCAAATACTCCCTTTGGTGTCTTTGATTTGAAAAAACAAGGATGTAGACTTAAAATCTGCAAATTTTAATTGTAAATCCAATAGAGGGAAAGTTTGATATTGTTATGATATTGTCATATCATCTAACTTCAATAATACAATTTTTACATCAGAACAGAAATATGCTAAATTAACCTTTGTAGTCAGGGAAGAAGGTTGCCAAATCTGATGTCTGTATTTTCTCTTCGAGCAGGTCTTTTTTATTCAAAAAGAGGATGGTGGACGACTCCTGGAACCAGTTGGATGAGGTAATTGTCTTGAAGAGGGCCAGGCTCTCAGCCAGGCGGTTCTAGACACAAAAACAGGAAATCTTGACAAAAGCTCAAGATGAGCTGTTAGAAGCTGAGTAACACATAATAATAGATTGGACATACATCTGTGTCACTCTCAAAAAGAACTTGGTCATATTCATTGAGGGCTGCCAGAAATATGACAGAGGTGACATTTTCAAAGCAGTGGATCCATTTCTTCCTTTGGGAGCGCTGGCCGCCCACATCCACCATCCTATAAATGCAGGAATGCTTGTTATTATTTTGTGTATCCCCTTTCTTGCAGACGTTAGACAACAAAGATTAACCAAAAGAGAAAAAAATTATCTCAGTTTAGAGGAAACATGTTTTGCACACAGATGTTTATTCTTTTTCAGCTAATAAGAAAATGATAATACCTGAAAATGACGTTTGACATGTTAAACGGGTACTCTATGATGCCCGAGGTGGGAACCCTGACCCGTAATATATCCTGCAGAGTGGGAATGTAGTCTGGGGCTGTGATTCTGTCCAGGTCATTTAGATAACTGAAAGAAGAGCACTGTAAAGAACTTGATACTACCCAAATTATTCTTTGTTTATCAGTCTTAAATACCAAGAGATGCACAAATTATATCGCATGGAAATTACAAGAAGAGTGTGTGAAACTTGTTGCTAAGTAGAAATCTCAAATGTCTCTTTAAGTAAGGTCTTCATAATTGAGTAAATCAGTTATCCAGGATGTGATATTGCTGTATTATAATCGAAGGCAACAAAGACTTATTCTCTTTGTTACAGTAGAAATTTAGCCTTTCATCCATTAGGCTATTTGTTAAATATTTCAGTTAAGAGCATTGCAAACTGTAGCTTTAGAGCCTTAAAGGCACGGTCCCAAACTCCTATTCTTATAGCCTAATGTCCTGCATCTTTTAGCTGTTTCCCTTGGCCTTACACACCTGAATTGAATATTAAACCTGCCTACTAGCATGCAGTCAGTCTCTACATAAAAAAAAAAAAAAAAGAAATTGATATGAACTCAGTAAAGCACATCCAGATCTTTTTGATATGCATGCTATTAAGGTAAGAAACAAATTGTGATAGAATGATTTAACTAATACGTGTAACTATACCAAAAAAAAAAAGCATCCAGATGATTAAGATTCAACAAATAAGAGAGAAAGAATATGAGGCCAGAGGAAAATCTTTTGTCAAAGCCTCTGATTAACATGAATGTGAAAGAATACTTAACAGACAATTGAGAAAAAAATAACGTATAAAAACAAAACAAAGCATACTATTTAGAAGAGTCTGACAACTGGAACTCCCGTCTCCTGTCATAACACTGTTGCACTCCATGGTCATTCCACACTCGCTTAATGGCATCCACCTGCCAGGACTCCAACGTTAACACCATGATGACATCCACTTCTTTCAGTTTTTCAGCATAGCACTATAACAAAAGAAAAAAAAACATCTAAATATAAAAATACAAACTTTAAAAGATATATATGTTTATACATAAAAATATGTTTATACTGACTAGCTATTAACCTTCTTAGGCAGATAAATACTGTGTAATGATGCAATGTTTTCATTGTCAGAATAAGACATTTCAGTATTCTAGAAATGTACAGGCAATTCCCTCAGCTAAAGTAATGGTTAGATAAGAATCTTTAAAGAGCCTTTTGTGAATATATTCATGATAATAGCTCTCTTCCCCCTGAAATAGAAAGATTTCATACAACTATGAGCTTGACATAAATGCAAATACATCTTTGAAGTAGTAGGAGCTAACAAACTAGATAGATTAGCATCAACCACTTAAGGAATTTAAAACAATAGAACCTGAAAATGTTTTATCGGTTTTAAATAAAGTTATGATTTTGTATGTTGTTTAGTAATGCTTTTTTGTGCTCTCAAGGTCTCATTGTCAGGAATCCAGTTTCTGTGGTCTGTTTTGTGTCTGTCTCTCCCTCCATTACCAGGTGGCGCCCGGTCATTGTTGGTCCTCCCTGCACACCTGCGGCTCTTTGGATCATTATCTGGAGGAGTACTTAAGCAGTGGACTGTCACTACCTCGACGCCAGAGTGTTTGCCAGTTTTGGGTACCCTAGCCATGCTTAGATTAGCTGAGTCTAACCTGAGTCTTTGTTTCACTGAGTCAAACTGAGTCTTTGTTTCTCAGAGTCTAACCTTGTTTTTGTCTTTGCCTTTGGCAGGAAGTCCTCCTGCGTACTAGAGGTTTGGTATTTTTCCCCTGGAAAGATTGTTTTCTGAATTCACACTGAGCAGGCGAGAAACCTCCACATGTGCCGTTGGACTGTTTACTGAGTTCACACTGAGAAGGGGAGAGAACTCCACATGTGGCGTTCAAGTCCCTCACGGAAATTCAAGTGACAGTCCGCTCCAGTGCTCCTCCGGGTCCAAAGAATGTCTACCTGTCCACTCTTCAACATGTCAACCCACACAGACTGGATGCAAAGTGAGAGAAGAAGCCCCCCAAACGTGAGTCCCTCCCTAGCATTTTCCTTACAGCATTCAAGATTCCCACGGTCCCTGAACTAACAATTTTGATTTGCCTCTAGACTTCCTAGTTCCTGTTCACCAGCTCTCTGAGTTCCAGATCATACCCCCCTTCTACACTTACCTCAATAAACCTGTTAAATCTTTGCCTTGCTCTCTGAGTGGTTCTCTGCATTTTGGGTCAGACCTCTAAAACACATCATGACACTCATAGTTTAAAATGTAAACAAAAA